CATAAGAAAACCAGACGGAAACACAGAAACCACTATGTACAGAAAACCCACAACGACAGACCAGCTGCTGAACTACGACAGCAACCACCCCACGTGTCCCTTTAGGAGCTGTGTATACACTTTATTCCGCCGTGCAGACACACATTGCAGCACAAAGGAACTTCGGCATCAGGAACGAATGCATCTGTTCCATCAATTCTACACAAATGGATACCCCAAAAGTTTCGTCCAATCATGCCTTAGGGGATGAAGAAAACCGAAGGATGAAGAGAAGAAAACGAAACTCTTATTACCATACATACGTGGGGTATCAGAAGCCGTTGATTGCATCCTTCGGTGTAGAACGATTCCTTCCGTACCCAGTACCCAGCACACGACGACGAATTTCGTCATTGCTCACCCGATTTCCCACCAGACAAGAGTGGTTGAATACGGAAAATCGATTAGCATCCTCCGCTCGGAGGGGTCAAGTCTCGCAACCGTAAACCAGAACACTATGAGCCACGACGATGAGCACCCTTCCTTGAAGGGACAAACGGATGTCGTGGCGGCGCCACAGGTGTTGCAGGTTGACGGAAGCTGCTCTAGCTTTCGCTATTCGTGATGTGATCTCCTCCCCAATACCACCACCAGCTGCGATCAAGCTCCCGAGGTACTTGAAGCTCTCAACTACTTCCAGCTGATCACCACAAAGAGTAAGTGCAGGCACAGGCGCATGTCAGTCTTCAGCAAGCACTTTGATGGTGCAAAGCGCACACCGTACCTGGATACCTCTATCGCCAAGTAGTTTAAAGCTTGTTGCACGGTTTGTGCATTTTCACCCAAGGCGATGTCATCGGCATATTCTAGGTCAAGAACTCTGTTCCCTGGGAGAAGCTCGACTCCACCGCTTGCTAAACCGGACAAAGCGTCCTAAAGAACCTCCTCTATGGCGAAGTTGAAGAGGAATGGGGATATAGGGCAACCTTGTCGCACTCTACTGGACNGGCGAAAGCAGGCAATAGGCCCTAATCCAACCTGAGGTATGACGATACAACTCTTTGAGGATCGATTTATAGTTCCAAGGTACTCCATTTATAAACAAGCAGTTCCATAGTGAGGTCCTATCGACAGGGTCGAAGGATGCGCGTACGTTTAGGAACACAATGGTCGTTGATCTATAGTAAGCATGACGGTGATCTAGCAACTGTTGGAGGGTGAAGATTTGATCGATGCAGCCACGACCGGGGTGAAACCCAGCCTGCTCCTCGCGGGTATGTTTCTCACGCGTCCTGCATAATCTACAAGAAATGATGGACGCTATTTGGATCGGGCTTCTACCTCTATGAATCGCGGTCATCGTGCGGGCCCTTTTTAAAGATGGGGACGACAATGGATTCCCCACCACCACCACGAGGAGGGGGTCTACTCAGTGTGCCATACTTTAGAGAACAGAGGCACTATATCTCAGATTTGTAATGACCTCATGCCAGGTTTTAGATTAGCCACCATTCCTCCGACTGCTACCTGCAACGAGGAATATTGCACGCAAAGCAAGATCATCATCTGGTGACATGTACCACAAGCCCAGATACCCCAATCTATGGCAATGGGTTTTTTTCACTTACTGAAACTTGAGTGATTGCAGACGTGACACGGGACGCAAGCATCACAATGCAAAATTCAATGGGAATTTGTAGATCAAATTTATGCAACTTGGTCCGTACACAGAGAAGAAAAATGAGTGGGTGAATTCCAATAAAACTTGATAGGTTGAAGGAAACCCATTGGGAAAGATAATTGTTAATCGCCTGCTATAAAGTGAATTTGTGGCAGCAACCAAGAGGTTCAAGTTGTGGGTACATTTTATGTTACAAGTCCGAGGTTCGAACTGAGCAACAGACGTTACGAGGTAACCTCTATGCGCGTGCAATGTTGTTCGCCACTCCAAGTTCCATAGACAAGGGTACCGGTGAAGAGTGGTCCTCGTAAATACAGGGTCAGTTCATTCTTTGAGAGATTTGACCCAATGACACTAGTGTACTTTTTAGATGACTGCTTCGGTTGTTTAACCATTTGACGGGTCTTTTACAGTCGGTGCATCTATGAGACAGCAATCTGCTTCGATCGAACGGTAAGGGTTTTACTGATCTAGTGTAATCATGCACCGGTCGCTGTTTTCTATTTCTTAGTGTTAATTATATTGGGAGAAAATTTCCCAGAGGAATAATCGCTAAACATGGAAAGTTCGACGAAGTGCTCCAAAGTTGACTACTTACTGGAGTCCGAAACTACAATCTCTTTATTACGCATCACTAAATGATAAACAGCAGACGGGGTGCAGTATGTCATTAGCAGTGAATTTACATGCTCAATAACCCATCCCCAACTCAGTACCGAGATAGGATACCTAGATTGGTTGGTCATTTGGGAATGGGAAGAAATTTGAAAATCCATAACTCCGATATTCATTCATTCAGTTATTTCGCCATACTTACACAATTCTGTGGAGATAACAATGAACGAACAGAGATTTATCGTATCCTGTTCCCTCAATGGCCACTCTTCCAAACCATGTAAAAAGCCAACCGGATAAGTGAATACATCACGTACTAATTACGTATCAGGTTCCCTGACTACAGCTTTTAAATCATCCCTCAAAGCTTATTCAAGCCATTTGGGGGGTAAATATGATCTAATGCTCTAAACCACTGATCAAAAATAGCAATCCTCGGGCACGAGTTCGGTCCGCTGAACAGGTTGATTTCGTCAGCCTACGAGCGCGGAACTCATTTGGGCGGAATCCGGTCTATCACTTTCGTGATCCATGGGAATCGGAAAAGCGACCAACAAATCCCAGGTGACGGTGAGTGATTGCGACAATTCAGCTGACACTTGATTCGCATCACTTTATTCAGATTAAGTTTACTAATCCCTTGTGAATCGCAAACACCGAACGCTAAATCGCGCGCGCGCGCGTGCGAGAGAGGGAAACGAATGGCGAATCACCCGTGACTTGTTTGGAAATTCGAATCTACTGAATCGGGCTCGTAAGAGTTCGGAGAAAATCTGACAATCAGGGTTTATTGTGTGGTGATGACTGCCGGCAAACTTCAATTTCGACACTTGAATTGTTGAACTACCTCTGGTCCCTGAGAGCAATTGCGGTGTAAGAATTAGAACACAGTTGAATAAAATGTGCACCCAAATTGAGTGGATGCACGGGTGCCCTAGTTCACGATACAGTTAAACGGTTCAATATGTATAATCACCGAAAGACAGTGACCGAACCGCCGTACGAAAACGTAACACTCTTGGTTGCGTGAATTGAAACAGAACGAAGCTTTCGATTAAGAGATAACT